AAAATTATGCTAATGAGGTCATCGCCTTCTTGGATTACAAGCGGTAGTTTTTCCCGGCCGTTTCGACTTGCACTGATCATGGTTACTAAAAATGTAACCGTGCATTGATTACAATATTTACCATAGTTTGTAGTCAATTTCAGTGAGTAATACAACTTCATTCGCTGACATAAAACAAGTTTTATTCTTGAAATTCGACCCTGTGTCTTAGTGTTCCCACAGATCTTGACCGAGTGCTCACGTTTATTGAAACCTCGCATAAATAAAGAAATAAGTACGTGTACAAAGTGTACGAAAGCATTCCTTTATTTGACCTTATCATACGATCACAAAAACAACTTTTTAAAATCTTTTTTGGGGTGGTCCTCGGGTAAGCGCCCACCCCCAATTTTTCCCGATTTTGTACGTTCAGGCCCATGGGCGCGTGCCCGGGGTAATACGGTATGTACCAAGTTTTATTGAAATGTGATGATTAAGACTTGAGACATCAGTGGAAAAGCGGAAAATTGATTAATCATTATGCAAATTAGGTAATTAATATTGCACAGATTTTTACCCAAAACTAACCAAATCTGCGCATTAGTTTGGAGCATCTATGTGCCAAGTTTCATCAAAATCCAATGAGTGGTTCTTTAGATATCAGTGGAACAGTCACGGAACAGCTAAAAATCAGCTAATTATCATGCAAATTAGGTAATTAATATGCATGGATTTTTACCAAAACTTAATCAAATTTGCACATTGGCCCAGAGCATCTATGCACCAAGTTTCATCAAAAATCAATGTATGGTTCTTGAGATATCAGTGGAACAGACACACATACACACAGACACACACACACACACAGACACACAAACACACAGACAGACACACTAACTGCAAAGACTCCCTCCCACACGGGAGTCAATAAAAAGGTGCCGCAAGATTGCTTGCAATCTGCAAGGGTGGTACCGGCTTGTATCTCATGTGAAATTTGAGTTCTTGTGGTCTGGTGGTTGAACTTGGGGTTGACTTTATAGTCAAAATCAAATGAGCGACGAGAAAGAGAAAAGTATTCTGTCAAAACAATTTTACCGTAGACTCAATTTTAACGCCCGATCTACAGTGTTACATGGCGCGGCTACGACTACTGGTTATGCTAGCCAAAACAAATTGACACTTCTTGTTGAATCGTTTGCAAACTTGTTTTGATAGAACGCTTTTATCGATTGTGCACATAAGTTGAAAACCTTCGCTGACTTTCTTTACAAGCCGCTTGATTGTACTACTGGCCAGTACTGATGTCAATGAATTTCATGCTGGCTTATGAAACACGGGGCCTATTGTTTCCTGGCAAGTAAAAACAACTAAAATGAAATTGAATTAAAACAAGTTATTGTCATATTTGAGTGACATATACATTCAAAGCAGATCATGACTGAAATCTCAGACCACTTTCAGTGGTCTGATCTGAAATGCATCTGCATATGTACAACACATTGTACTAAATCTGAACAAAATCCGTCTATGCATAACTGAGATCCGGGTCCGGAATGGTGAAAATGTGCGATTTTGATGCATTTTCAGCCATAAAATGGCCGCTATTCGGCCATCGTTAATCGGATCATGAAACAAATGCACGTATCTATTTGTGACATGATGTACCATGTGTGTGTGAAGTTTGAACTTGAT